GGAGAGACCTGAAGACATGGAAACAACGCAGAGAGACAGGAAGAGATTACTGTTGTTGTTGTTGTTGTTGTTGTTGTTTGTTGTAATAATAATAATAATAATAATAATAATTTACCTGTTTCGGTCTGTGGCAACTGTGGTAGTCTCATGCACTCCTGGAACACTGAATTAGAAAAGACGAAATAAATCAACTGATGATGATAATAATAATAATAATAATAATAATAATAATAATAATAATAATAATAATAATAATAATAATTTACCTGTTTCGGTCTGTGACAACTGTGGTAGTCTCATGCACTCCTGGAACACTGAATTAGAAAAGATGAAATAAATCAACTGATGATAATAATAATAATAATAATAATAATAATAATAATAATAATAATAATAATAATAATAATAATAATTTACCTGACTTGCTGTGTGACAGTTGTGGTAGTTTTCTGCCCTCCTGGAAGACTACATTGGAAAAGAAGAAATAAATCAACGGATAATAACAGCAATCATAATAATAACAACACAATAATAATAGTAGTTTACCTGAATTGCTCTGTGACAGCTGTGGTAGTCTCTTGCCCTCCTGACCTCCTGAATTGGATAAGCAGAAGAAAATACTTTAAGTAAAATGTGCTGACACATTATCAGGCCAAACTATTCAAACCACACCCAACTCCACTGGAGAAGTATCGTCCCTTTTTTGCCACTTTTCCCCAGTTATTACTGTGTACTTACTCCATAAAAACCAACATAAAAAACATATTTATATATTTAACATTACATTGAAAGTTAACTTTGCAGTTTCAAGTTTAATATTTGTAAGATAAAAAAAATATTTCACTTTAATTGAGACAATATGAATCTTACCGTGGAAAGATGTAACAGTTGTGTGAGCTGTTCAGTCCTGAGTGGCTTAAATCTATCTCAAGGTATTCGTCACCATCCGATGTAGTTTTTGTTTCCACTTGTTCCACAGTGAAAACTTCTGCTGGAGACAAGAGTATTTCATCCTGTTCTTGACCGCACACATAGTCTTTCAGGTTGACAAAGAAGCATGAAGTGAGATTTAAAATAGTACTCTCATTGACATCTTCAAGACTCTTTAGCTCTTCATAGTCTGAATAAGCTAAAGTGAAACTTGTAAATCTCACTGTGGAGCCTTTCTGTGGTTGGTTTTGACCATCTTGAAAAACATAAAAGTTCTTGCACTCCTTTGGCTTCAGCAGCGTCATGGAGTCCATCAGCAGGAAATGAAGAGACTTGAAGTTGAAGTGGTTTTCATAGATGCTAACATTTCCACCCATTGTCTCTATTGCTTTGTTCAGTGTTAGTATGAAAGGCCGGTCTCCTCTAAAATAGGCTGAAAGTGCAGCACTATGCTCTTTTCTTCCTCCAGGAATCTTCTTTGAACACTCGATGCTTTTATTCCACGCTTTCTGAAATCCTTCATTGCTGCTTAGTTCTTGTTTTAACAAGTCTGACTCGATGAACGTCTTCATGGCCTCTTCACGGCATCCTTTGTACTGGTCATCTACAACATCTGTGCTATTTAGAAAATCCAGTAGCCTTGTTTCCTGTGCGGTCACCTTTAATTGAGATTTATCACATTTAAAAACACATTTTTAAGTGAAGAATGTTTTAACCTTCTAATATTTGTTTGTACAAAACTTAATTCTTACTTTGTTGCAGGCAACTGTGAAAATTATTGCAGCAAGAAGGACTTTTCTTCTGCACTCCATTTTTTGTCTTCTACAGGCTGAAAGAAAGCAGTGCAGAATCAAATGTAGTCAAAAAACAGCTCTGTGACATTTTACATACGAAGGACATACACTAAGTCTGGACTGGATACTACAGTTCTCTGTATTTGGGTCTTGAACACTCATCTCTCCATTGCATTCAAAATTCAAAATGTTGCTGCAAGTCATTTAACCGATATTAAAGGGACGATTACGTCACTCCAGTTTTTAGCAAGTTTACATTGGATGCTTGTCCATTTTTATATTGATTTGAAGATTCTTTTACTTGCTTTCAAATCTTCAAATGTTATGGTGCCAACTTTTAAACCAAACTGCTAAACTTACATGATCCGAGAAGAGCACCAAGATCATCTGCCCAGATGTTTTAGTGCAGCCGAGATCTCGATTTAAGCATAGAGAGTTGAATCCACTAGACTCTCATATAACAGGTCATTTGATATTCCTACTGCAGAGTCTATGTAGTCTTTAAATCCTGTCTTAAAACCACATTTTTTTACCTTGGCTTTGAATCTAAGTTCATGTTGAGTCTTATCAAGGGTTTTTTATGTTGTGGTCTCTTTATTTCAGTTTGTTTTTAGTCACATAATATTGTAATTGTTTGCATATATAATATATTGTATTGTCTTTATTGATTTTGCTATAGAAATATGCCATATAAATAACATTAAAAATAACATTGACATTGAAATTTGAATCTGGCAAGATTTAAAATAACAATTATCTTTTCTACTTCTTGGAATTTGGCAAGTTAAAAAATTTAAATGTTGAAAAGACCAAAAGGTACATACCTGAAGCGAGGAGATTGAACTTGTATTAACAACTTAGCGAAAAGAGTCGATTAAACTGCTGGGAAGCAATGAGAACAACAGTCTCTGGGAAGTGAAACAAGATATTTTACAATGAACTCCTTAGTCTTAGTCTAGTTCTCGAAAGCTTGCTCAGATTTGTTGCACAATGATGAGTAATACTTACATCATTAAGCCCATTTTAAGCCCAGCCCAGAGATAACTTATCCTTGTATCTCTGTTCTAACATGATTTATGTATGTATTTATTTAGTATGATCGTGGCTCAAGAGTTGGGAGTCAGAAGGTTGCCGGTTCGAGCCCCAGCTTGGACAGTATCAGTCGTTGTGTCCTTGGCAAGACACTTCACCTTCGCCTGGTGTTGGCCAGAAGGGCCGATGGTGCGATATGGCAGCCTCGCTTCTGTCAGTCTGCCCCAGGGCAGCTCTGGCTACAACTGTAGCTGCCTCCACCAGTGTGTGAATGTGTGTGTGAATGGGTGGATGACTAGATGTGTAAAGCGCTTTGGGGTCTCTAGGGGGGACTAGTAAAAGCGCTATACAAATATAGGCCATTTACCATTTCAAATACCTCAGTGCTTCTCTTTACTAAAGTTAACCGGACGCATCGTAGTTGGAAAATCTGGGTATCTTAAAATTTAAGGAATGAAAAGTCACCAAACAATGTGAATAATCTGGTCTCACAGAACAGTTCACCACACTAGGCAGTAACAAATTAACTCAGCTGACAACACTTTCATATTGAGAGATGTCATGATCTATCCACTTTTGAAGTTCTCATTTTTGGGAAACTTGGAAATGTTGAATCATGCCCTGATTCAGCTTGGAGGAAACGTGCCTCCTAACGTAGGTTTCCAGTGAACTTGTGTGACGGTTTTTATTTCAAAACTTTTCAGCTTGAGTATGAGGAAGTGGGTACTACTGGGCAGATTCAAGGCATTCGTAAAAAATCATATACTTATATTTCTGTGGAAACAACATCCTTCATATTTCCATGAAGCCTGTTCTTTAAAGTGTTTTGAGTGCTCATGTACAGTAGAAACACACCACTCTACTTGCCACCTCGCCAAGTGCTGCACCCCCAACCTTGGAAAACAACTGACAGTCACTTGATTTACTTTAGTGGAGCAGTACTCGCTGGAACTGCCAGCTGTTTCAAACTTCCGTCTATAGCATTACAAAGGCTGGGACACAGGCATAGCCTGCCCTGCCTCTCCACTCTCTCTCCAGCAGCTTCCTTTGTCTCTCATCCCTCCCACCAAACCCCTTTTAGTCCTCTGGCTGAAAGAGGCCTGTCCTAATTGTCTGATGCCAGTGTCCTTCATGGCCATAAACTCCACAGGTGTGAGCACTAAAAAAACATACAAATGTAACAATAAAAATCAAACAATACAAAAAAGAAATAAATCAATAAATCAATAAAAAGAAAAACAATATTCCCCGGGATGACTGAGCAGATGAAATGACATGTAAGAAGGGGAAAAAAACATATTTGTGGGTAAAATGTTTGTGTGATCAGGCTAAATTCATTGCAAAGCCTTTTATATTTTGCATGTTGTTTATTTGACAGGGAAACAGAAGCAGTTTGGCAGGAAGAGCATCAGCGACTGTTTAGGACAGAGCGCTGTCGTAAGTCCTTCAAATCAGTCAGACAGTACAATGCGCACACATCACAGATACCTACTAAAATACATACGTGTATATGTTATCGGTCCCACTGCACTTTATATACATATAACATAATCTCTGTGACATGTCTTGCAGTGTATTTTACTACAGTAACATACACTTTTCTATAGTATTTTGTTGTTTTTTTAATCTGTATACATTTTTTCTTATTTCTTTTCTAATCTATATCAAATTCACCTTTTTTCTTGCTGACCCCTGTGCCGCTAGAACAAATGAACTGTGCAGGCTTAATAAAGTCTATAAAACCTATCAATATATATCTATCGATCTATGTGACCATAAGAACAAATAAAAGCATCTCATGATTGCAGATTATTTCTAGTTGGTCTTGACAGCAGCTGCACATGAGCCTGAAATTTGAACCCACTGTGTTTTACACCAATTTTCTGCATCCCTTTAAAATCTTTATCAAATATTCTGAAGTCATGAAGTCTATAATTCATAACATATGACAGAAACAGAAAATTGCTGCTAAGACAACTAATTCAACACAGTGTGTCAGATAACATGTAAAACAATTGTATGAAGAATCACAGCAATATTGTAGATGATAAAACTCTGAAACTCTGAATGAAAACTGTTTTTGCTAAACAGCTAAAGAAAACAAAGATAAGGCCGCAAGCACTGATACAAGCCACAGGGTGGAGACAACAGCTGGAGGAGACCTGAAGACATGGAAACAACGCAGAGAGACAGGAAGAGATTACTGTTGTTGTTGTTGTTGTTGTTTGTTGTAATAATAATAATAATAATAATAATAATAATTTACCTGTTTCGGTCTGTGACAACTCCTGGAACACTGAATTAGAAAAGACGAAATAAATTAACGGATAATAATAATAATAATAATAATAGTAATGATAACAATAAAAATAGCAATAATAGTCACCTGGATCGCTCTATGACAGCTGTGGTAGTCTCATGCCCTCTTGAAGTGCTGAATTGGATAAGCCAAAAACAGTAATTGAAGTAAATGTCGACACATTTCAACCACACCCAACCTCACACTGGACATGGGAGAATAAACTCACTTTTAAAATCCCGTTTTTGCCACTTTCATGCCACTTCCACTCACTCATGCTTTCCTGACAACACCTATGATTTTCTTAGTAGTTTCATGTTTAGGTGTATGCACATTTATTGAGATAAATAAATATGTTTACTAATATTTTTATATTATATTAATATAGGGTGCAACGATACACAAAGTTCACGGTTCAGTTCACTTCACATGAAAACCAAGATAGTTCCAAACGCCAGATCTGAATGAGGGTGGGGGAGGTTCAATTTCGGGTAGCATTGAGGAAGTGCCATGTTGCAACGAGCTTAGCTTCTGTCTTGCTAGCTTCGCGCGCTCAGTGGATCTGCGCTCGACAGTGCAGCCTAGGCGGATAGTCGAACGCAGATCCACTGAGCGCTCAACACAGACAGCATCGTCAGAAGAAAGTTGATGAAATAAATAAAAAGTTGTATTGTTCGATACATATGCGCACTGAACCGAAAGCACTGTATCGACGGTTCAATATCGATAGAGTATCGTTGCGCCCCTAATATATATATGTTTATAGAAATACAGAATGTATGGGGCTTATGAAGTATTTTTATCATATTTTTATTATATGCACTTAGACTACGTAAAATGTTTGTATCTCCTTCGAATATGTTAACACTCACATGATAAACATCACATTAAAAGTTAACTTTGCAGTCCAAGTTTAATAGAAAAATATTTCACTTTAATTGAGAGAATATGAATCTTACCGTGAAAAGATGTAACAGTTGTGTGAGCTTTGCAGTCCTGACTGTTTCAAAACAATCTCAAGGTATTCGTCACCATCCGATGTAGTTTTTGTTTCCACTTGTTCCACAGTGAAAACTTCTGCTGGAGACAAGAGTATTTCATCCTGTTCTTGACCGCAAACATAGTCTTCAGGTTGACAAAGAAGCATGAAGTGAGATGTAAAATAGTATTCTCATTGACATCTTCAAGTCTCTTAGCTCTTCATAGTCTGAATAAGCTAAAGTGAAACTTGTAAATCTCACTGTGGAGCCTTTCTGTGGTGGTTTTTGACCATCTTGAAAACATAAACGTTCTTGCACTCCTTTGGCTTCAGCAGCCTCATGGAGTCCATCAGCAGGAAATGAAAGAGACTTGAAGTTGAAGTGGTTTTCATAGATGCTAACATTTCACCCATTGTCTCTATTGCTTGTTCAGTGTTTGTATGAACGATTTATCCGCTTTAAGATAGACTGAAAGTGCAGCAGTATGCTCTTTTTCGTCCTGAGGATCTGCTTTGAACACTCGTTACTTTTATCCACGCTTTCTGAAATCCTTCACTGTTATTTAGTTCTCGTTTTAACACATCTGACTCGATGAACTCTTCATGGCCTCTTCACGACATCCTTTGTACTGGTCATCTACAACATTTGTGCTATTTAGAAAATCCAGTAGCCTTGTTTCCTGTGCTGTCACCTTTAATTGAGATTTATCACATTTAAAAACACATTAATAGAGATATATCATTTTTAAAAGCATTTTTAGGAGGATAATTTTTCAAATCTTCTTATATTTGTTTGTATGAACATAATTCTTACTTTGTAGCAGACAGCTGTGAAAAAAATATTGTAGCAAGAAGCACTCTTTTTTTGTACTCCATTTTTTTCCTCTTCTTCTACAGACTGAAAGAAGCACTGCAGGATCACATGTGGATAGAAAAAAGTTCTTTAACACTTTACATGGTCCAGAAACTTTGATGTGGAAAAAATATAAGTAGAAGACTAAAAAAAACTAAAAGGCACTTACCGAAGCAAGGAAAGTAAACTTGTGCTAGCAACTCACAGCAAAGGTCCATCAAACAGCCGGGACACCCAATAGGGTCTGGAGAAGTGAAGCAAGTTATCTTACCATAGAACTTCTTAGTCTTTCCTGTGGAGGAAGTAACATGGCACCGGGGGATTTGTTTTCCACTGATTTTTCCTGTTACTTGTCCTTCTGGAGCTACTGAGTTTCTGTAACCTTGTTTAGATTTGTCAAGTAATGTCTACATAACTTAGCTCTTTTAAGCCCAACCAAAGCACCAAATTGCCTTTACATCCCTGTTCTCACATTATTTCAGTATAACTGATGGGACCAAATACCACAGTCCTTGTTCCATGCAGATTTTATCTAAAGTAAACAAGAGACTCTAGCAGCCCTACTTGGACAAATGAGGGCATATTAAAGTTACAGGAATGAAACTGTATGAAAACAAGCTGTTGTATAACAGAACTGCTGTCCACACTGGATGCACCTTAACTTATGTACGTAATGTAGGAAGGAGTAAGAGCAGCACATTTAAAAAAAAGTTCATTTTGAGATTAAAGTTGAAATGGGCAGATTACAGTTATTGTTTCAATTCAAACAACTGACACAATTCCTATACCCTCAACAAATTTCCTTGTGTAGATCAGTTAGTGAAACAACTTGATCAGCTGTGTTATTGTGTATTCAGATACAACATACATCGTCCTTATTGCACAAGGGTGTAAACATCAGTATTCTTGCATCTGTTCATTGCACAATTTCCTGGATGCCCTTTACTCATTACCACACTGTGTTTACGCGTTAAAAGAGCAATAACTTCCTTGCTACTAAAACTGATTCTGAAGTATGATTTCACTAACTCATGTTGTATAATAGATTACTATTTGAGTAATGACCCCAACACTGAATACAACCTTTGCCATTGGTCTGCCATCTTTGCTCTACACCTAGTTTCCCAGTACTCCTGTCTACTTTCTTCATCTCCCTCACTATCCCGCTTTTTCTTTGTTAACCTTTGTTCTTGAATATTTTTCTTTGTAGAGCACCAAACATCTTGCTGCCAGTTTCCCTCAGCCCTGCAGCTGTCATCTGCTAACTCTTCGCTACTCCTCAGAGGCTGTCGCAACTCCTTCATGAACTCTGTGTGACATTCTTACTTCCTCAACATTCACCATTTAATCCTTGGCTCAGCCTTCACTTGTTTCCATTTCTTGATTTCTAAAGCCATGTGACAGCCTACCATCCACAGCCTAGCCACATTCTCCCCCGACACCACCTTCCAGTCTCCTCTGCCTTTCAGGTTGCACCTTCTGCAACAGATATATGGTGCTATGCATTTACTGCCTTCCTGATTTCTATTTTTTTTAAACCAAGGAGATTCTGTTTTTAGTATTGGGTTGCATACTCTGTTTTCTTCCCATCTACTGGAGAGAGAGAGAGAGAGAGAGAGAGAGAGAGAGAGAGAGAGAGAGAGAGAGGTGCAGTTGCAAAGGTCTTAAGCAAACCCTCAAATCTTTATAAAACAGAAAGTTGACACAGTGGTTTAGTGAAATATGTTTAAACAGCCACACTACAGTCAGTGACCAGAGCTGTGGTCCACCATTGCAGAGAAGAAGACAGGACAAACACATCCTGCAGTGTTAAATGAAAAAGAATGAGGTCTGGCTTCCTGTCAGGCTCAGGAAGTCTCACAATATCCGAGCATTGTCTTTTATTCAGTTCAGCAGCTTCTTTGTTGCATGTTTTTCAATGACGTCCACAGAAATGTTCACAACTGCTCAAGAATCAAACATGCACAGGTTTCGTGTTAGCCTAGATTCTCTCGGTTAAGTGATGTCTGGCTGGGTGGTTGGCATCAATCGATATTTAATTAGCAAGTAATTAATTATCAAAAAAAAGCAAGAATGACCCTACCAATTAATCCAGATTGTCTAATAAATCAAAAAGCTATGGCAAGTACAATTTCTGTCAATATTACTGTCTTAATTAGGGATGGAAATCGAGAACCAGTTCTTCTAGAAAACTGGTTCCCAGTAGTCCAATTCCTTGGAATTGTTCACCTGCCTATCGATCAGGCTTATTGGTTCTTGCGCTCGCACTACAATCAACCGATATCAGTTCACGTGTTAGAGGAAGAAAAAAGTAACACCGTCTAGTGTGGACATGGACATTTAATTTATTTTTATTGCACAAAAAGACAAGATAAATGGCAAAGTGCAAAACTGCATCCAGGACAGAAATAACCGCATTATGCTGCTGACACTAACTTCAGTACTTTGCAAGCATCAGCCAAGATAGCATGCTAATGCTAAGCTAGCCAAGAACCCAGAGTGAAAGCTGAGTGAATGCCGACCCCAGCTGCCAGACCCTGAACCTTGACAGGTAACAAGAAGATGAGCAGTTAAGCTGCAGCTTCACTTTCTACCTGTTTATGTTTCTAATCAAAATCCCTGTGGCCCTTTTTGGTGTTGGTCTTCTTTTCTTTTGGTGTGTGGTCAGCTTTGTATTCTACTACGAGAAAGATGTTAGAGACGTGTGTCCTCATTAGGTATTTGTGTTGGTGTGTATAACCTTAGCCTCAGGTTATATTGTTAAATGGTGATTATGAGTCAGTGGGTTTCAGCTGTTTTACAGAGTAACAGGAAAGTAACGTAATGAGTAGTAAAATGAATTACTTTTTCCTGGCAGTAATTAAGTAACGTACAGCTTTAGTTTTGAGAAAAGTGTTCTGGGTAATATGTGCAGTAATTACTTTTTTGAGTAACACTGATCACAGCAAAGTGAGGAAATACCTCAACAAACATGCACAAATATTTGACCCACAGCAACAATTAATTTGCATGAATGTAATTTAAGTTTATAAGTCTGAATATTTGTAACAAATTATACATAATTATTATTTTTAGTTATTCGGTTTAGTAACATGAACGAAGTGGGCTTATTTGTGTAAACAAACAAAATGATCACGTGAGAAGTTTCAGTTTTGTAAAATCTCCAGTGAAAGCGAATTTATTAACACAGGATATATATGAAACTTTAACAATGGCAGTTCATTCATACACTGGGACACACGAAAAACGAATTCAGTTTGAATAAAATGTTATTTATATGGCACCAAACCACAACACGTTGCTTTATATTGTAAGAAAAATCCCTACAATAATACCAATTAATAAAGACTAAACAAAACCAAAAACCTAAGTATGCCCATGATTCAGTAGCTTGTACAAACCCCTTTAGCAGCAGTAGCTTGATATAATCATTCTCTGTATGACTTTGTCAGTCTGTCACATCATTGTGGAGAAATTTTGGAAGTTGCTTCAGTTTCTTGAGGTTTGCAAAAATTTGTTCATGCACAGCTCTCTTAACAGCTCAGCATTTCAGGTAGATTGTGGTCTGGACTGTGACTGGTCTCAGTGCAACACCTTCATTCCTTTCTTACTCAGCCATTATGTTGCAGATTTGCTGCTGTGCTTGAGATCATTGTCCTGTTGCATGAGCAAGTTTGAGTCAAACTTTAAATGTCAGGCAGATGGCCTCACATTTGACTCTGGAATATTTTAGTATACAGATGAGTTCAAAGTCCACTCAGTGACTGCAAGTGTTGGGTAGATAGCTTGTACTGGAAGGACTGTAAGGTGCTTGTTCAGGTTTGCAGCTACCACTCCCCGGAGTGTCGGCCAGAACACTGCTCAAGGCCCGGATGAATGTTCAGAAGGGAGACAATGAAGACACCGAGGATAGTGCAGACTCTTGTATTGACTTCACACAGTTGAAGGTAACAGGGATTGTCAGAGGAGCAGGTATTGCATACAGTTTAGGTGCGTGGGCATGGGTGTGTGTGTGTGTGTGGTCTGTTGCTCATTAACGCACACTTCTCACGGAATAACCAATTCTCTGCCGGTAATCTGGAGCAGAAAAGCTCAGGTGCTTTGCCCACGTTTCTCCCTGGACATAGTCTCTCATACAAAGCGGTGGGGTGACCTCTACTGGCCACTCTAAAAACTACAGGTGAACTAACAACTGAACAGAATAAAACCATAACTACGGGGCCTTTTGTACAGCAAGGTTCCCAGGTCCTGTGACTACAAAACAAGCCAAAGCAGCTTTACAAATCTAAGCTGTGCTTCATGATGTTTTTAGATAGAAGAAGCTTTATCCTGGCAAAACCTTCAAACAACCTTCATACCTGTTCAGAGTTTTTCTAATTGTCCTAAAGTTTAATACAGTGGAACCCTGACTTACGAATACCCCGTTTCACGAAAAATTCAAGTTACGAAGGCACTGAACGGCAATATTTTTGCCTGCCTGCCGCCAAGATGCGGTTTGTGATACATGTGGCAAGAAAGTGAGGTGTTGTGGCGACACCATTTACCTCGTCAAACACCTCAGAGTAAATCATATCACAGAATATGACAAGCGTATGTTGAGGCGAACTAAAGACGAGGAGGGGGACAGGTGCTGCTAGGGCGAGACAGACGACTCTCGAGGAGTCCTTTAGTGCTGCAGGCAGGCAACATGCTCAAATGGCGCACAACTTCAGTTTTCTGTATGATAATTCTGCATTATTAAGTGATAAGAACAAGTAATCTGACGTCCTGTAATCATTATGAATCTATAATTTGAGATACAATAAAAGATACAGTTAAAAAAAAGTTTTTGCACAGAGTATCGGATCAGTATCGCCGATACCACCCTGAATTTTACTTGGTATCGGGTCGGAAAGAAAATCAGTAGTATCGCACATCACTACTGAATGCCACTTACCCTAATCAGTAAGGGCATATTTAGTTTAGTCCTGTGAATCATACATTAAAGTTTTCCTGAAAGTCGTTTATGTTGTAATATACATATATTAAATATAATATACAATCATTTTCCAGAATTGCATTAAAGAATTATTGTATTTCCATTGTTGAATACTTGGAGGTACACCAGAAGCAACTGTACCAAACCTTTATTCTGACCTTATCGACACATATCGGCTTTTTTCATTCCCATCACTCATTTCCTATAATCATTTTAAAGGCATGCAAACCCTAACAAGAAATAATAAACACATACTGTATATATATTTCAAGTATGCTGTACGTTTTCTAGCGTGCATAAAGAAAATAAAAACTGAGTTTATAATTCATAATATATGACAGAAGCAGAAAACTGTATTTGACTATATTTTGACACAATACTGCAATACTGCAATTCACCACAATCTGCCAAATAAAGACCTAAAAAAAGGTGTATGAATAATCAAAGCAATATTGCAGATTATAAAACCCAGAAAACTCTGAATGATAACTGTTTTTGCTAAACAGCTAAAGAAACAGAAGATAAGGCTGCAAGCACTGATACAAGCCACAGGGTGGCGACAACAGCTGGAGGAGACCTGAAGACATGGGAAAAAAGCATATTATTATTATTATTATTATTATTATTATTATTATTATTACAAAAATAATCATTAATAATAATAGTTTACCTGTCTCGCTCTGCAACAGCTGTGGTAGTCTCCTGACCTACTGACATCCTGGATTGATAAAGGAGAGAAAATACTTTAAGTAAAATCTACTGACACGTGGTTTTATTTAAACCACACTCAACCCCAGTGGAGATGTGGAGAGCAATCCTCACATTTTAAAATCCTCTTTTTGCTACTTTTCACATCACTTAATTTTACATCATGCTTTCCAGAGTTTATAAAAGCTTTGATAAGCTGAGTATTCCCCAGTTATTACTGTGTACTTACAGCAATAACAACCACTAAGTTATAACAGAGTAACAGACTGTTTCAGACACCAATATTTCCCTCTTTTGATTTATGGGGCTTAAGTATTTTAGTATATGCAACTAGAACTTTTTTTTTTCAAATACATAAAAAACATATTTATATATTTAACATCACACTGAAAGATACATTTGTAGTTCTAAGTTTAATTTCTGTAGAACTAATAAAAAAAAAATTCACTTTACTTGAGAGAATATGAATCTTACCGTGAAAAGATGTAACAGTTGTGTGAGCTTTTCAGTCCCGACTGTTTCAAATCAATCTCAAGGTATTCGTCACCATCCGATGTAGTTTTTGTTTCCACTTGTTCCACAGTGAAAACTTCTGCTGGAGATAAGAGTATTTCATCCTGTTCTTGACCGCACACATAGTCTTTCAGGTTGACAAAGAAGCAAGAAGTGAGATGTAAAATAGTATTCTCATTGACATGTTTAGGTCTCTTTAGCTCTTCATAGTCTGAATAAGCTAAAGTGAAACTTGTAAATCTCACTGTGGAGCCTTTCTGTGGTTGGTTTTTACCATCTTGAAAAACATAAAAGTTCTTGCACTCCTTTGGCTTCAGCAGCCTCATGGAGTCCATCAGCAGGAAATGAAGAGACTTGAGGTTGAAGTGGTCTTCATAGATGCTAACATTTCCACCCATTGTCTCTATTGCTTTGTTCAGTGTTTGTATGAACGATTTATCCTCATTAATATAGACTGAAAGTGCAGCACTATGCTCTTTTCGTCCTTGAGGGATCTGCTTTGAACACTCAATACTTTTATTCCATGCTTTCTGAAATCCTTCACTGTTATTTAGTTCTTGTTTTAACACATCTGACTCGATGAACTTCTTCATGGCCTCTTCACGGCATCCATAGTACAGATCATCCACAACATTTGTGGTCTTTTGGACATCCAGTAGTCTTGTTTCCTTCGCGGTCACCTAATTGATATATCACATTTAAAAAGACATTTAAAAAGACATTTTTAAATGTATAATTTTTTAACCTTCTAATATTTGTTTGAATTATGATTCTTACTTTGTAATAGACAGCTATAAAAATTATTGCAGCAAGAAGCATTCTTCTTTTCTGCCCCATTTTTCTGCCTCTTCGTCTACAGACTGCAAGAAACCACTGCAGGATCAAATGCGGATAGAAAAAAGTTCTTTAACACTTTACATGGTCCAGAAACTTTGATGTGGAAAAAATATATAAGTAGAAGACTAAAAAAAACTAAAAGGCACTTACCAGAAGCAAGGAAAGTAAACTTGTGCTAGCAACTCACAGCAAAGGGTCCATCAAACAGCCGGGACACCCAATAGGGTCTGGAGAAGTGAAGCAAGTTATCTTACCATAGAACTTCTTAGTCTTTCCTGTGGAGGAAGTAACATGGCACCGGGGGATTTGTTTTCCACTGATTTTTCCTGTTATTTGTCCTTCTGGAGCTACTGAGTTTCTGTAACCTTGTTTAGATTTGTCAAGTAATGTCTACATAACTTAGCTCTTTTAAGCCCAACCAAAGCACCAAATTGCCTTTACATCCCTGCAGGCTGAGGGTCACAGATGCCAACAGACTTAATAAACTGATCCGTAAGGCCAGCAATGTTGTGGGGATGGAGCTGGACTCCCTCAAGGTGGTGTCGGAGAGGCGGATGCTGTCCAAGATAAAGACAATGTTGGATAACACCTCCCACCCACTCCATGACATGTTGGTCAGTCACAGGAGCTCGTTCAGTGAGAGACTGAGATTACCGAAAAGCACCACTGAACGACACAGGAAATCATTCCTGCCTGTGGCCATCTCCCTGTACAACGCATCCACTTAACACACTGTTTGCTGCTACAGCTACACATGTTTCTTTTCCAAATATTTATTTATAAGTGACTTATGTATGTATGTATGTATATATATGTATATATTGTACTATTCTTAGTTAGCGTATTGTCTGTCTTGTCTTAATGTTGGTTTAAAATGGAGCACTGTAACAAAAAATAATTTCCCCCAGGGATCAATAAAGTATTCTGATTCTGATGATTCTGATTCTGTTCTCACATTATTTCAGTATAACTGATGGGACCAAATACCACAGTCCTTGTTCCATGCAGATTTTATCTAAAGTAAACAAGAGACTCTAGCAGCCCTACTTGGACAAATGAGGGCATATTAAAGTTACAGGAATGAAACTGTATGAAAACAAGCTGTTGTATAACAGAACTGCTGTCCACACTGGGGTGCACCTTAACTTTATGTACGTAATGTAGGAAGGAGTAAGAGCAGCACATTTAAAAAAAAGTTCATTTTGAGATTAAAGTTGAAATGGGCAGATTACAGTTATTGTTTCAATTCAAACAACTGACACAATTCCTATACCCTCAACAAATTTCCTTGTGTAGATCAGTTAGTGAAACAACTTGATCAGCTGTGTTATTGTGTATTCAGATACAACATACATCGTCCTTATTGCACAAGGGTGTAAACATCAGTATTCTTGCATCTGTTCATTGCACAATTTCCTGGATGCCCTTATACTCATTACCACACTGTGTTTACGCGTTAAAAGAGCAATAACTTCCTTGCTACTAAAACTGATTCTGAAGTATGATTTCACTAACTCATGTTGTATAATAGATTACTATTTTGAGTAATGACCCTAACACTGAATACAACCTTTGCCATTGTCTGCCATCTTTGCTCTACACCTAGTTTCCCAGTACTCCTGTCTACTTTCTTCATCTCCCTCACTATCCCGCTTTTTCTTTGTTAACCTTTGTTCTTTGAATATTTTTCTTTGTAGAGCACCAAACATCTTGCTGCCAGTTTCCCTCAGCCCTGCAGCTGTCATCTGCTAACTCTTCGCTACTCCTCAGAGGCTGTCGCAACTCCTTCATGAACTCTGTGTGACATTCTTACTTCCTCAACATTCACCATTTAATCCTTGGCTCAGCCTTCACTTGTTTCCATTTCTTGATTTCTAAAGCCATGTGACAGCCTACCATCCACAGCCTAGCCACATTCTCCCCCGACACCACCTTCCAGTCTCCTCTGCCTTTCAGGTTGCACCTTCTGCAACAGATATATGGTGCTATGCATTTACTGCCTTCCTGATTTCTATTTTTTTAAACCAAGGAGATTCTGTTTTTAGTATTGGGTTTGCATACTCTGTTTTCTTCCCATCTACTGGAGAGAGAGAGAGAGAGAGAGAGAGAGAGAGAGAGAGAGAGAGAGAGAGGTGCAGTTGCAAAGGTCTTAAGCAAACCCTCAAATCTTTATAAAACAGAAAGTTGACACAGTGGTTTAGTGAAATATGTTTAAACAGCCACACTACAGTCAGTGACCAGAGCTGTGGTCCACCATTGCAGAGAAGAAGACAGGACAAACACATCCTGCAGTGTTAAATGAAAAAGAATGAGGTCTGGCTTCCAGTCAGGCTCAGGAAGTCTCACAATATCCGAGCATTGTCTTTTATTCAGTTCAGCAGCTTCTTTGTTGCATGTTTTTCAATGACGTCCACAGAAATGTTCACAACCTGCTCAAGAATCAAACATGCACAGGTTTCGTGTTAGCCTAGATTCTCTCGGTTAAGTGATGTCTGGCTGGGTGGTTGGCATCAATCGATATTTAATTAGCAAGTAATTAATTATCAAAAAAAAAGCAAGAATGACCCTACCAATTAATCCAGATTGTCTAATAAATCAAAAAAGCTATGGCAAGTACAATTTTCTGTCAATATTACTGTCTTAATTAGGGATGGAAATCGAGAACCAGTTCTTCTAGAAAACTGGTTCCCAGTAGTCCAATTCCTTGGAATTGTTCACCTGCCTATCGATCAGGCTTATTGGTTCTTGCGCTCGCACTACAATCAACCGATATCAGTTCACGTGTCAGAGGAAGAAAAAAGTAACACCGTCTAGTGTGGACATGGACATTTAATTTATTTTTATTGCACAAAAAGACAAGATAAATGGCAAAGTGCAAAACTGCATCCAGGACAGAAATAACCGCATTATGCTGCTGACACTAACTTCAGTACTTTGCAAGCATCAGCCAAGATAGCATGCTAATGCTAAGCTAGCCAAGAACCCAGAGTGAAAGCTGAGTGAATGCCGACCCCAGCTGCCAGACCCTGAACCTTGACAGGTAACAAGAAGATGAGCAGTTAAGCTGCAGCTTCACTTTCTACCTGTTTATGTTTCTAATCAAAATCCCTGTGGCCCTTTTTGGTGTTGGTCTTCTTTTTCTTTTGGTGTGTGGTCAGCTTTGTATTCTACTACGAGAAAGATGTTAGAGACGTGTGTCCAGAGGTGGGACCAAGTCATTGTTTTGCAAGTCTCAAGTAAGTCTCAAGTCTTTATCCTCAAGTCTCAAGTCAAGTCTCAAGTAATGTCAGGCAAGTCAGAGTCGAGTCTCAAGTCACTGGTGTAAAAGTCCGAGTCAAGTCACAAGTCTGAAACTTTGAATTTCAAGTCCTTTCGAGTCTTTAAAAAAAACAAACGAAAAAATAATGTTGCAGTTATGCTAAATGTAAATATTAGACCATGTAATTTTTAAATCTGTGTTTTTCTCAACACATGACAAAATAGTGAACTTAGAAAATATACACAAATTGTGAAATTGCACCTCTTTAGAATGCAGCTCAATTAAACCTAGCTCCAAGAATAATTTTCACCGACAGTTCTGAGATAAGCTGCATGTTATTCTTGGATGCGGTTGTAGGACCAGCTTTAAAATCGCATGACAAAAATATCACACACATTAAAAAAAAACTGCATCACCGTAGCCTGGACAACATTTGCTAGTTAGATGAAGTCAGCTATCTCATCGTAGCATATTTATATGCATATTTATAATTATACGGTTCTTGGAGTGAGTGCATACACTCATGAAGTTTAGCAACTTCAGGTCACTGCAACAAGCCCAGGTACAGTTTACCGACGGATGGGTGCAGGACCTTGAAATGCACCGTGTAGAACGAAAGACCATCATACGTATCATAAGTTTACCAGTCTCACAAATTGTCTTCATAAATACACATTCCTTAACCGTTTATTAATAGGACCTTTGAGCTCAATGGTAATTAATTAGTAGTGGAAATAATTTCTGGTACCCATCACAGAAATGTAGCAGTGACAACAATATTGTATGCTGTAATGGTACTGGGCAATTAGTGATACAAAAAACCTGTTTTATCCTGTGAATAAAAGTATGTGTTTTTGTCAATGTACCATAATAACAGAAGCGAAACGCAATATTGTGTCAGGACAATTCACTATTTATGCACAATAAATAAAGGAGCATAGCGCGACAATTTCTGTTCAGCGCCAGACTTGCTTGTAACCTATATCACCAATTATGTTAAGAAAAATGACGTATTAACTACAACAGCAGACTGACCTTCGTGTAAATGCTTGGAGCAGACTAACCTGTGAGCTGGAGGGTTCTGGGATGTTATATTTGATCTTTGAATGGCTGCAATCCAGACCATCCGTCGCGTCTTTGTTACTTCAGAAACATGAACAATTTCTCTTCAACGACGTAATCCGATAACAACCGATCTCTTTACCCGTCGGCTTCCCGTGGCTGTCATGCGACCGGCTATTGCAGTTAATAATACAACAGCTTCTTGACATTTTTGTGTTTCTTTTTATCGCTGTATAACTGATTTTAATTGAAAGCCTGCGTGCGCTAGTACCGCTTGCCACGAGTTCCCAGAATCCTTTGCGGTTCTACCCGTGAATGACGTCACATTTTCAATCTCTATATAATATGCATGCTAAATTTTATATTTGGGGTAAAATATCAAGTCTTTTCAAGTAAACCGGTTCAAGTCCAATTCAAGTCCCAAGTCATTGGTGTAAAAGTCCAAGTCAAGTCACAAGTCTTAGAACATTTTTTCAAGTCAAGTCTAAAGTCATAAAATTAATGACTCGAGTCTGACTCGAGTCCAAGTCATGTGACTCGAGTCCACACCTCTGCGTGTGTCCTCATTAGGTATTTGTGTTGGTGTGTATAACCTTAGCCTCAGGTTATATTGTTAAATGGTGATTATGAGTCAGTGGGTTTCAGCTGTTTTACAGAGTAACAGGAAAGTAACGTAATGAGTAGTAAAATGAATTACTTTTTCCTGGCAGTAATTAAGTAACGTACAGCTTTAGTTTTGAGAAAAGTGTTCTGGGTAATATGTGCAGTAATTACTTTTTGAGTAACACTGATCACAGCAAAGTGAGGAAATACCTCAACAAACATGCACAAATATTTGACCCACAGCAACAATTAATTTGCATGAATGTAATTTAAGTTTATAAGTCTGAATATTTGTAACAAATTATACATAATTATTATTTTTAGTTATTCGGTTTAGTAACATGAACGAAGTGGGCTTATTTGTGTAAACAAACAAAATGATCACGTGAGAAGTTTCAGTTTTGTAAAATCTCCAGTGAAAGCGAATTTATTAACACAGGATATATATGAAACTTTAACAATGGCAGTTCATTCATACACTGGGACACACGAAAAACGAATTCAGTTTGAATAAAATGTTATTTATATGGCACCAAACCACAACACGTTGCTTTATATTGTAAGAAAAATCCCTACAATAATACCAATTAATAAAGACTAAACAAAACCAAAAACCTAAGTATGCCCATGATTCAGTAGCTTGTACAAACCCCTTTAGCAGCAGTAGCTTGATATAATCATTCTCTGTATGACTTTGTCAGTCTGTCACATCATTGTGGAGAAATTTTGGAAGTTGCTTCAGTTTCTTGAGGTTTGCAAAAATTTGTTCATGCACAGCTCTCTTAACAGCTCAGCATTTCAGGTAGATTGTGGTCTGGACTGTGACTGGTCTCAGTGCAACACCTTCATTCCTTTCTTACTCAGCCATTATGTTGCAGATTTGCTGCTGTGCTTGAGATCATTGTCCTGTTGCATGAGCAAGTTTGAGTCAAACTTTAAATGTCAGGCAGATGGCCTCACATTTGACTCTGGAATATTTTAGTATACAGATGAGTTCAAAGTCCACTCAGTGACTGCAAGTGTTGGGTAGATAGCTTGTACTGGAAGGACTGTAAGGTGCTTGTTCAGGTTTGCAGCTACCACTCCCCGGAGTGTCGGCCAGAACACTGCTCAAGGCCCGGATGAATGTTCAGAAGGGAGACAATGAAGACACCGAGGATAGTGCAGACTCTTGTATTGACTTCACACAGTTGAAGGTAACAGGGATTGTCAGAGGAGCAGGTATTGCATACAGGTTTAGGTGCGTGGGCATGGGTGTGTGTGTGTGTGTGGTCTGTTGCTCATTAACGCACACTTCTCACGGAATAACCAATTCTCTGCCGGTAATCTGGAGCAGAAAAGCTCAGGTGCTTTGCCCACGTTTCTCCCTGGACATAGTCTCTCATACAAAGCGGTGGGGTGACCTCTACTGGCCACTCTAAAAACTACAGGTGAACTAACAACTGAACAGAATAAAACCATAACTACGGGGCCTTTTGTACAGCAAGGTTCCCAGGTCCTGTGACTACAAAACAAGCCAAAGCAGCTTTACAAATCTAAGCTGTGCTTCATGATGTTTTTAGATAGAAGAAGCTTTATCCTGGCAAAACCTTCAAACAACCTTCATACCTGTTCAGAGTTTTTCTAATTGTCCTAAAGTTTAATACAGTGGAACCCTGACTTACGAATACCCCGTTTCACGAAAAATTCAAGTTACGAAGGCACTGAACGGCAATATTTTTGCCTGCCTGCCGCCAAGATGCGGTTTGTGATACATGTGGCAAGAAAGTGAGGTGTTGTGGCGACACCATTTACCTCGTCAAACACCTCAGAGTAAATCATATCACAGAATATGACAAGCGTATGTTGAGGCGAACTAAAGACGAGGAGGGGGACAGGTGCTGCTAGGGCGAGACAGACGACTCTCGAGGAGTCCTTTAGTGCTGCAGGCAGGCAACATGCTCAAATGGCGCACAACTTCAGTTTTCTGTATGATAATTCTGCATTATTAAGTGATAAGAACAAGTAATCTGACGTCCTGTAATCATTATGAAGCTATAATTTGAGATACAATAAAAGATACAGTAAAAAAAAAAAGTTTTTGTACAGAGTATCGGTATCGGATCAGTATCGCCGATACCACCCTGAATTATACTTGGTATCGGGTCGGAAAGAAAATCAGTGGTATCGCACATCACTACTGAATGCCACTTACCCTAATCAGTAAGGGCGTATTTAGTTTAGTCCTGTGAATCATACATTAAAGTTTTCCTGAAAGTCGTTTATGTTGTAATATACATATATTAAATATAATATACAATCATTTTCCAGAATTGCATTAAAGAATTATTGTATTTCCATTGTTGAATACTTGGAGGTACACCAGAAGCAACTGTACCAAACCTTTATTCTGACCTTATCGACACATATCGGCTTTTTTCATTCCCATCACTCATTTCCTATAATCATTTTAAAGGCATGCAAACCCTAACAAGAAATAATAAACACATACTGTATATATATTTCAAGTATGCTGTACATTTTCTAGCGTGCATAAAGAAAATAAAAACTGAGTTTATAATTCATAATATATGACAGAAGCAGAAAACTGTATTTGACTATATTTTGACACAATACTGCAATACTGCAATTCACCACAATCTGCCAAATAAAGACCTAAAAAAGGTGTATGAATAATCAAAGCAATATTGCAGATTATAAAACCCAGAAAACTCTGAATGATAACTGTTTTTGCTAAACAGCTAAAGAAACAGAAGATAAGGCTGCAAGCACTGATACAAGCCACAGGGTGGCGACAACAGCTGGAGGAGACCTGAAGACATGGGAAAAAAGCATATTATTATTATTATTATTATTATTATTATTATTATTATTATTATTACAAAAATAATCATTAATAATAATAGTTTACCTGTCTCGCTCTGCAACAGCTGTGGTAGTCTCCTGACCTACTGACATCCTGGATTGATAAAGGAGAGAAAATACTTTAAGTAAAATCTACTGACACGTGGTTTTATTTAAACCACACTCAACCCCAGTGGAGATGTGGAGAGCAATCCTCACATTTTAAAATCCTCTTTTTGCTACTTTTCACATCACTTAATTTTACATCAGAGTTTATAAAAGCTTTGATAAGCTGAGTATTCCCCAGTTATTACTGTGTACTTACAGCAATAACAACCACTAAGTTATAACAGAGTAACAGACTGTTTCAGACACCAATATTTCCCTCTTTTGATTTATGGGGCTTAAGTATTTTAGTATATGCAACTAGAACTTTTTTTTTTCAAATACATAAAAAACATATTTATATATTTAACATCACACTGAAAGATACATTTGTAGTTCTAAGTTTAATTTCTGTAGAACTAATAAAAAAAAAATTCACTTTACTTGAGAGAATATGAATCTTACCGTGAAAGATGTAACAGTTGTGTGAGCTTTTCAGTCCCGACTGTTTCAAATCAATCTCAAGGTATTCGTCACCATCCGATGTAGTTTTTGTTTTCACTTGTTCCACAGTGAAAACTTCTGCTGGAGATAAGAGTATTTCATCCTGTTCTTGACCGCACACATAGTCTTTCAGGTTGACAAAGAAGCATGAAGTGAGATGTAAAATAGTATTCTCATTGACATCTTCAAGTCTCTTTAGCTCTTCATAGTCTGAATAAGCTAAAGTGAAACTTGTAAATCTCACTGTGGAGCCTTTCTGTGGTTGGTTTTGACCATCTTGAAAAACATAAAAGTTCTTGCACTCCTTTGGCTTCAGCAGCCTCATGGAGTCCATCAGCAGGAAATGAAGAGACTTGAGGTTGAAGTGGTCTTCATAGATGCTAACATTTCCACCCATTGTCTCTATTGCTTTGTTCAGTGTTTGTATGAACGATTTATCCTCATTAATATAGACTGAAAGTGCAGCACTATGCTCTTTTCGTCCTTGAGGGATCTGCTTTGAACACTCAATACTTTTATTCCACGCTTTCTGAAATCCTTCACTGTTATTTAGTTCTTGTTTTAACACGTCTGACTCGATGAACTTCTTCATGGCCTCTTCACGGCATCCATAGTACAGATCATCCACAACATTTGTGGTCTTTTGGACATCCAGTAGTCTTGTTTCCTTCGCAGTCACCTAATTGATATATCACATTTAAAAAGACATTTAAAAAGACATTTTTAAATGTATAATTTTTTAACCTTCTAATATTTGTTTGAATTATGATTCTTACTTTGTAATAGACAGCTATAAAAATTATTGCAGCAAGAAGCATTCTTCTTTTCTGCCCCATTTTTCTGCCTCTTCGTCTACAGACTGCAAGAAACCACTGCAGGATCAAATGCGGATAGAAAAAAGTTCTTTAACACTTTACACAGTCCAGAAACATGGAACTGACAAGATGTGAATGATCAATTATTTGTTTAGTTTCCTTTGAATATGACAACTTCAAAGTGTTAATGTTGAAAAGGCTGAAAGGCACATACCTGAAACAAGGAGAGTAAACTTGCCTTAGCACCTCACAAAAAAGGGTGCAACAAACTGCAGGGAAGCCACAAGCACAGCAGGCTCCAGGAAATTTGGAAAATATATATTATGCAGCAGTAAGTGTCATAGTAATCCAGAAGTTAATAAATTGCTTGTAACTGCATACGGTAAAGTTTGAACAGGATGTGAAACTCGTGATCATGGGCCTCATAACGAGAGCAACAGGAAACAAAACAGAGTGAAAGAGCGTTGAGACTGTAAGTGGGTGTGAACATTACTGCCTTAGAGGGGGATGAAGTTAACTGTCACTGTTGCATGATAACATACTTTGCTTATGCAGACAGTGCGTGTTCAGCCCTTTAAAATAGTGAAGCCTGTGTGCTTCCAATTTGAGATCTACCGGACTGCGCTTTGGGTGGTGTCGTGTGGATCTACCACATATATGTGCTTAATAAATAATTGTTGTTGACCGGACCTGCTCTGAGTATTTGTTGTTTATTCTCAGCCCATCATAAAAGAATCGGGACAGAAATGAAATACATTATCTTACTATGCAGTTCTTTAGTCTTTCCTGTGTTAGGAAGTAACTTCTCACTGGAATACCTGATATCCAGTCATCCTGCTTTATCCACTGAGTTCCTGTAACCTTGTTCAGATTTGTTTTATAACCAGAGAAATCGCCACAGCGCTGTGAAAAAGTATCTTCCCTTTCCTGAGTTTTTCTTCTGTGTGTGTGTGTCTTTTTCTCACACTTACATGTTTCAGATCATCAAATAACTTTTAACAATTCTGTTTTCAAGGATTCAAGGAAGCTTTATTGTCATTCTCATCGCATGTTTACATGAGATGGAACGAAATTACATACCCACAGGTTTTCCACAGGTTTTCCATAAAAACAACAGAATGACAGGTAATAAAATAGTACCAAATAGTAATAAAATAATACAAATAAGTAATAAATAATACAGATAAGTAATAGAATAATACAAATTAAGTAAAGTGCAACAACCTGAGTAACAGTATAAAGTATAGAAGTGTAGGTATAAGTATTTTAGCAGCAAAGTATCTGTAGTGATTACACCACAGTAGCAGTTTCTTGTCCATTATGTATTGAGATGTCTCACAGCTTCTGGAATGAGGCAGTTTCTCAGTCTGGGGGTTTTGCATTTAATGGTGGTTTTGTTTTGAAACAATGATTCCATATAAAAGAAAAGAAAAGCAAAGTTATCCAGCCTACTGTGTAAAAAAGGTTATTGCTCCCTAAAGCTAATAACTGGTTGTGACACCCCTGGCAGCAAGAGCTGCACACAAGCATTTGGCAATGAGGCCTTCACATCTTTATGGATCAATTTTATCCCACTCTTTTTTGCAAAATTGTTTTAATTCAGTCACATTTGACAATTTCAAATCATGAACAGACTTTTTAGGACGTTCCAAAGTGTCTCGGCTTATTTCAAGTCCAGATATTGACTTGGCCACTCCAAACCCTGTTTTGATGAGCCATTCAGAGATGGACTTGCTAGTATGTTTCCAATCATTGCACTGCTGCATAACCTGAGCTCTTGAACGTCAGGGCATAAACTGATGGCCGGTCATGCTTCTTCAGAATTTTTTGGTAGAGAGCAGAATTCATTCATCCATCAAGTCGTGCAGGTCCTGCATCCTGACACAAGGATGGATGAATCCATTGTTTTATATCCAATTCTGACCCTAGCATCCAAATGTTGCACCAGAAATCAAGATTTGTTAGAGCAGGCAATGTTTTTCAATTCAATTCAATTTTATACAGCGCCGAATCACAACAACAGCCACCTCAAGATGATTTATATTGTAAGTTAGACCCTACAATAATACATACAGACAAAATCCCAACAATCATATGACCCCTATGATTAAGCACTTTGGCGACAGTGAGAAGGAAAAACTCCCTTTTTAACAGGAAGAAACCTCCAGCAGAACCAGTCTCAGGGAGGGGCGGCCATCTACCGCGACTGGATGGGTCAGAGAAGGAAGACAGGACAAAGTCATGCTGTGGAAGAGAGCCAGAGATTGTAAAATACTACCCAATCTACTTATTGTTGCCTTCCTATCAGCTGGAGACAGTCTGGCTATTCTCATCTGACCTCAAAACACTTTCACTCAGAGAACCGCTGCTCACTGGGTTACACAGTTTTGTGCAGGAAAATCCCAGCAGACCAGCACTATCTGCAATATTCAGACCACGTTCAGTCACTTGGACTTTATCAGGTTGTTTTCACCATGACTACATATCTAAATGCTTTGAGTTGGTGCCATGTGATTGGATTATTAGACATTTGTATTAACAAGCTAAGTATATCTAATAAAGTGGCCATAATGGCTTTGTTCGCCTTATGGTGATGGATACATCACACCCAGTATTTCCCACCACAAACAACGCTTACCTTTTATAGAGAGGACTACATGTTTTTGTGCACTTAAGTGCAGCCTCACCCAAGGCCACTTCAGAAGAACCTACAGCCATGTTTTTGGACACAGACAAGCCTCGGCAGCAGATCCCAACCCTTCCAACCACTGTACCACCACAGCAGCCAGGCGGACTGGTATCTTTTCATACAAAGACAAGACAAAGGGGATTTCTGAAATTCCAAATTATTTGGTTTTATTTGAAAGGTGTATAAAGGTAAATCAAACTCAGAGTGCATGTAATGTAATGTAAAAGAATAAAAGCAGCAATCCCGCAGTAATTTAAAAATACAATAATTCCCTGATCTGAGTTTTGAACAACAAAGAAAAAAAAAAAAAACAGCTTTCAGTAGCTTTCACTTCATTCCCTTTTTGAAGAGGAAAAAAAGTCTGTGAATTTGGAATCATGTGGAATCAGTGAGGTAGAGAAACCCGAAGTTAATGTGCTGATAAAAAACAGGCTAAAATAATTCAGCAAAATGCACAAAAACACACATCATTGATATTATTTCCCAAATTTAACCACTTTTCATAGTTTAAAAAAAAAAAAGAAAGATTGTTGAGGTGACCCAACAAGTGCTAAATCAATGAGTCTAAATGTGCAAATAGATCCCTTTTGTGCAGCGGAGAGTTTTCTTATCGTCACAGTAAATCCTCTTTAACAACTGTGCTGTTTGTAGTCAGACTGGACTGTTGCATTGAGGATGGGGGTGTTGGTGAACTCCACAGTGCACGCTTTAGAGCCGCAGAGAGCCCCTTCAAGCTCCAGGACGGTCACATTGTTTGGTGCAGCTGTACTGAGGATGTTAGCAGGGACAAAAAGTGTCATCTGAGGCCCTCGAGTCGGCCAGTAACGTCCTACATTAAAGCCGTTTATCCAGATCTGTCCCTGAAAAACACAAAATCACAAAGACAAGCTACTTAGCCCATTTTTCATCAAAATAAAATTAAATAATTAACAAAAATTAAAATATCTTGTGTATCTATCTAGATGTCAAAGGTCTAATACACCACCTGGTCCTAAAAAATTGTACACAATAATTTCATTTACCAGGATGCAACTAAAAATGAATATTCAGTCTGTATACAGTCACATAAACACATGTACTTTGAGGTCAAACTGTCACCTTCTATCCAGCAGACCCTCTAAAACCAAAAATATTAAATGCATAAGAACATTCAGCAGAGAAAAGCAAAACCTGTCTTTTGACAAGTTAGCACCAGTGCGTGCTATAAAACATGTCACATGCCTTTCTCCAACTGCTCAGCTTGATGTAGGTGTCCTGAGGGAGGTCTGGGATGCCGTCGGGTATCACGAAGCTTCCCCCGTAGAAAGCTGGAGGGGAGAGATCAGCTGGCTGAGGTGGATCAAAAAGTGCAGGCTCTTTTTCTCCGAGGAGGCCCTTCATGACTGCTTCATCAATACTGAGACTGTACATGGTCCAGTCGGTGAGAAGGTCCGCCCCCAGGGTCAGATTAGACACCAAGCCCTGTGATAAGAGAAGAGAAGATCTCACGGGACTGTTTTTTTAAACAGCTAACAATAATAATAATAATAATAGATAAACAGAAAATAGTTTTGTTTGTGTGTCAATTATTATGTTTTATTATCTGATCTCTGATTGATGAAACTCTGAAGAACCAAAAAAACCCTACATGAACCTCTGGACAATTTTTACAAAAGTGACCAAATTCCGCATGACCATAGACCTGGGATACTTACACAAACACTAAAATGTCCAAAGGACAAACATCAGCACGACATGTTGTAGCACAGAAACAAACCTTGAAATCGTTGATCTGTTTTCCGTAGTTTACTCGGCCCATGTTCTCCACCAGTATGTCCACCTGACTTCGAGCCTTCCCGGTTACATTGATGCTTAAGACTTTATCCCTTTCAAGAATTCCTACAGCCAGCTTGAGAAGAAATAAAAAAAAATCTGTAAAAAAAATCCAGATTATAGCAGAAATAATCACATTTTCTTGATCAGTGCAAAGCAGTTTTTGGGGAAAAAGTGGAGATTATATCAAGTTTAAAAGCTTAACCTGTTTTGTTTACTAATCTATCTTATTATACTACCTGTAGTTTTAGACTTAAATGAAAATGTAAGAAAGATTAAGAACCACGAGGAGGTAACGGAAATGGCACTTTTAAAATATTATTTTCAAAATAATAATAACAAAAAACCCCACACCAAGTATCACATCTGAAAAAGATTTTAAAGGAAATTTGAGGGAAAACTAAACATCTAGAGCTCCTTTTTCTTTTCTTTTAATTTCAGTTCTTTTGAGATGAAGGAAGAAGAATCCAGATGCAAAAAAAATAAATAAAAAAATAAAACCTACTCAGTGAAAAAGGAGAGAATGATTTAAAGGTCTAATATATATATTAGGGGTGCAACGATATTCGTATCGATATTGAACCGTTCGATACAGTGCTTTCGGTTCGGTACGCATATGTATCGAACAATACAAAATTTTTGATTTATTTTATCAACTTTCCTTCTGACGATGCTGTCTGTGTTGAGCGCTCAGTGAATCTGCGTTCGACTACTCCGCCTAGGCTCGACAGTGCAGCCTAGGCGGAGTAGTCGAACGCAGATTCACTGAGCGCTCAACACAGACAGCATCGTCAGAAGGAAGAGCGCAGGGCATTCAGATCTGGCGTTTGGAATTATTTTGGTTTTCATGTGACGTATGACCCTGAAGGTAAGCGAGTCATGGACTAAAGTAAAACAGTATG